CCCCCCCCGTCCCAAATCATGGCACTTCGGTGCTGTGGTACTCCGGGACTACGGGACTATGGTGCCCCCCATGGTACTATTCCGGGGGCCGAGCCTTCCTCCCCCGGGAACGTACCATTCCAGCGGCCGAGCCTGCGCACTGACGGGTTTTCTAGTTGTATGCGTACTGTGCTGTGTGGTATAAAGAAGGTTGGTCTCCTGCCGTGAGTGATGCATTGAATGGCTTGGAGTACATGGCTATCCTTTTGGAGCCGGAGGCACACTTTGATCATTCCTCGCCCGATCGGCTGATGAAGAATATCCTTATGTTCCAAAACCGAAGGAGGATCGCTGAAGGCAAGCAGCCATTATTAGAGAAGTGAGACTCCATTCGTGGTTGCAGTACCACGGAATCTGTTACGGTCTTTTATGTGTAGATTGACGACACTGCAAAAGCGATGGGTCCCCTAAATAGGTCGCTTTCGGCTTCTCCGAGAACAGTCATAGCAAGCAGTTGAAACGCTGAGCCAGACCGCATGATGTGGACCGATTTCTGAAGGGCTTGACCGTAATCGTTAGAGCGGAGTTGTGTTGGCAGCTTGTGAACTTCGCCGTGAACTCAGCACGGGTGGTAATGAGTTGTTATTGGAGCGGTGTTGGTGAGGGGACGCTGCGTGCGGCGATATCAAACAGCTGAAGCGGTGGGCGCGCCAGATAAACATCAAAGTCAAAGTCAGGTTGGTGGAAAGCCCAGAGGGGCAGGGTGCAGACTACCGCCCGACATAACCAAGCTTTTTCGCGATTGTGAACATGGCGTGGCCTCTGGAATTCGAAGGATGGACGACTCCCCTGGGGCGTATGATGAGGACGGTAGGTAACGTGTGTTGTGGTGGGTAACGTGTGTTGTGGTGGGTAACGTGTGTTGTGGTGGGTAACGTGTGTGGGCCGGGGAAGACTTACGTGAAGAAGAAAGCGCTGGAGGTGAGTGGCATGCTAACGAGTACCGCCAAGATGTAGGGTGTGGGCGTGGGGTGGGTGTAGACGACAGTGACGAAGATGACGGCCCAGAGGAAGAAGGTCATGACGGCGGCGGTGAGACACATCAGGCACATGAACATGACGTTCGCTCCGTGAGTTTCTTTGCCTTCCGCAACGCGGCGCACCAAGGGGATGCCTCGGAAGGTGATGGCGATGGCCATGGCGAGCATGGGGAAGCCGGCGAGCGTGGACTTGGTCAGAACCAGAGAGCAAAACGCGGTAACGCTGCTCAGAACCAGAGCAAACACACTCCACTCGCAACGCCGAGCTATTGCAAGCAACTGGGCCCGTGTTGGGCGCGCCGCCCGTCCGTGCAGTACGGTGTTCACTGAAGGAGCCGATGGCGGGTAGCTCGCATGCGTTAGTACGGAGTCGTTCGGCGAAGGAGGTGCATTCCTGAAAATAGAGACTGACTTCATGGGCAACTACAGAGCTCCACAGGCTGTTACCGCAACACACTTACGGAGAAATCTGCTTGATAGGAACCTTTCCTAAGTTGCTAACCTGGATTGCACCCGTAGGCGTGGGCGGCGATAAAACAGGCATGCATGCACGTGCCGAACGGGAACCAATTCTCGACTCACAATCAGAGCGAGTGAGAGTCAGAACGAGAAACAGAATCCCTGCGGTAACACCGGCGGGAGGGCGGGCTGGCTTGATCCGCCAGAGCCTGGGAATTCGGCTTGATCCAGATCTAAGAACGCTTTTGAGCGAGACAAGTGAGACAAGTGAGAATGAGGTAAGCGAGATAGGGGAGGTAGACGGCGCAAGGGAAGCGAATTTTTATGCAATGAGCAATACTATCTTTCGGTTGAAGCGTGTGTTGAAAGAAAATGAGAGCTTGAGGAACATCAAACGCTCTATGCGCAGCGACAAGTACCAAAAGCAAACCTTGAAGTGGTTCCACGGTTCCTGCCTGCTGTCACGCACAGTCAAACCTAGTCACCAACCCTGCGGGGTGACCGCGTTTCGCGGAAGGTAAAGAAAGATTGTTCGTAGTTCTCAGGGGAGTCGGGAAATTGACGGGTTGTTGAACCAGGTTGTGGCGACGTTATCGAGTCACGAGGTCGACTACGCGATGTACCAAGTAAGAATGTGTGTGAGACACAAGCGTGTTTGCTCAGTTCAACTTGAAGGAATTTTGCAACAATGTGCGACCTTTGGCGGCGAAGAACCCGAGTTTTGTGAAGGCGTTACGTGTATTGTGCGAGCCGGAGAGTGTGAACGCTTTCGTAGTAGAGTGGAAGAACAAGCACGGGGAGTTGATGCGGAATAACGGGTGGCGTTGCAACTATAGTTCTTTATTAGGTGCTTGTCGAGGTGGTGTGCGTTTCCATCCTTCGGTGAATCAGGACGTGATAGTGGCGTTGGCGTTTGAGGTGAGTGTGCAGAACGCGTTGACGAATTTACCGATGGGTGGGTGCTTCATGGGGAGCGACTTTAATGCGAGAATTTGCTGCGATGCGGACGTCCAATCGTTTTGCAACGCTTTTGTGGTAGCGGTTCGAAAAGAGTTGCCTGCAAACTGGCCGTTGGATATAACCTGCGACCTGGGTTGCGGTCCACGCGAGTGTGCGATGTTAGCTGCCGCACACGCGGGAGTGGTTAACAGCGCAACCGGGAAGCCCTTTCCCCAGGTCGTAGGACGGCCCGCAGCTGCAGGACTAGGAGCTGTGGAGTTTGGTAAGCTATTCTGCCGTATCCCTTCCTTCGACAAGACTCGTTGTCTCGTTTCGGGCAGCGGAGACTGCGCCCTGACGGTGGCCCGAAACCTGATCGCCGAGGGTGCCGTGGTACTAACACTGTCGGACTCGTCAGGCTTCGTCCACTGCGCCACGGGCATCACGTATCTACAATGGCAGCGTATCAACGAACACCGACAATACCGCATTCCGCTAAGAGACATCGTCAGTGAAGACGGCTGGCTGCGAGGCCTCGTCTGGCGAGCCGGTGACATCTGGCAACAAGGAATTTCTGCCGACTACGCTTTTCCCTGTGCACACGAACTTGAAATCGATATCAAGGAAGCCGAAGTCCTAGCAGACCGTTCTAAAATTAAAGCAGTCCTCGAAGTCAGCTATACCGCCACCTCTGACGATGCACAAAGCTATCTCGTCTATCGCAAAGTCAAAATCGCGCCCAGCAAAGCCGTCAACGCCGGCGCCATGGTCGCTCTGGGTATGCATCTCGCTGAAAAAATGGACAAGGCCGAATTCGAACACGAAATTAAATCTTTCATGAGCTATCTCCATGACCAATGTAGAAGTGTCTACGACTCATACTACCCAGACATCTACTTCAAGGAAGCTGTCGATATTTGTGCACTGCTCAAACTGGCTAAAATTATGAAGGAAAAGGACATAATTTAACCGGTGGATGACGCACGTACAGGACATGGAAACTGCCCCCCGGAAGTTAAGAATAATAACCGGGCCAAGGAGTGGCTTGATTCACATATTTCTGGGAACTTTTTTCACTTATTTTGTCACTGGTTATCTCTTAATTTTACTCGACTGCATCACTGATGCACCATCCATCCAAAGTCAGCGTAGGTGTGTGCACACACAGACCCCTGCACACAACACGAGACAAAACGAACCCTGCCACCCGCGCCTTTTTTTTTAATTTCGACATCAGTTTTAGCTTCAGCATCACTCTTCAAGAATACAGCCGATGGGATCGTCTATAACAACAAGTTCCACAGAGAGCTTGTCAATAATACCTACCTTTCCTCTGAAACAGTGGCACTCCTCAGTTATGTTTGGTCCGTGCTGATACTACTGAGGTAAAGTGACGTGCGTCGGATTCTGGATTTGGTTTGCACTAGACCTTGTCCTGGGAAAACTTCGCCACAACACCATATCGCCACAACACCATACCGTTGCATACAACCTACTGGGCAACACTCTACCGTTGGACGCAACCTACTGGGCAAGAACAAGGTGTTTGCATTGCCTATGATTCCAATCGGTGCGTCCTAAACCAACATGTGTGTTTATCCCTTGCGCCTGCTTAGTAGGCGAAATAGGTTCATGCCATGCAGACATATCGTGATGTAGTACAACACTCTACCGTTGGACGCAACCTACTGGGCAAGAACAAGGTGTTTGCATTGCCTATGATTCTAATCGGTGCGTCCTAAACCAACATGTGTGTTTATCCCTTGCGCCTGCTTAGTAGGCGAAATAGGTTCATGCCATGCAGACAATGCTGTTGGACTTAACATTTGTACACGGTCTCACTAACTCCAGTTGCTCGCCAGTGCCCATAGTCCGTTGATGCTTCGGACCTTTGTGGTTTTCGACTAGTTGAGTTAGGGGCATCCTAGTCGCGAGTTTGTGATGAAGATTATAACGCAATACTCTGAAAGGATGCCCTAGAAAGATGTGAAGGTCATATAAACGATTGGAGTCTGACCGGCCCGGCAAGTCGATATGTGTTGTTTCCGATTACCTGTATTGACCCACACTATTCGACTGATTATTCGGAGTTTTGAACCGCAGGAGTACTTGCCGCAGGAGTACTTGCCGCAGGAGTACTTGCCGCAGGAGTACTTGCCGCAGATGTAGACGTGAAAAAACAGGTGGGGGGTTTTGTACATACGTGTGTATTAATTATTCAAGCTTGCACACACGCACGTTGAACACACGTGTGTATTAATTATTCAAGCTTGCACACGAACATTCCAGAACACATACGTTACTACAAACCATCCACGTTTCGAACCTGCTAATTAGGAACAGCGATGAATGAGGTGCTTCAATCGCTGCAGATCCGAGAATGCGACTTAGCCTGTGAATTGAAAGGACGAGAGAAAGAGGTCCGTTTATTAACGGTCGCTTTTAAGAAATCCATTACAACGCCGGGTGGACCGGGACATCTGCACTGTAAGTAGCATCATACCCATGAATAGAATTGCTTAGACGTGGCTGGACAGCCGGGTACGGGAAAAACATTGACCGTTAAATATGTGCTAAAGAGATTGACTAGAGATGGCTTAAAATTCCGAATGGGTGAAGTCAATATACTTCGGATGGCGAGTAGTACAATGATCTTTCGCGAGCTGTATAAACTGGCGCTACCGAAAAAATCACTCGCTGGTGATTATTACACGGAATTAGGCAAATACATGAAGAAAAAGAGTGCGAAAAAAATACCCTTGTAAGCTTTATTACAACTTGTAGGGATGTCACTGAAGATACGACTTGTAGGGATGTCACTGAAGATGTAGGGATTGCGTGTTTGTAAAAATAGTACTGGTTTTAGAGTACTGGTGATCGATGAGTTCGACAATTTGAATTTCCGAAATCGGGCTTTTAACGAGAAGCTCTACGAGGTGTTCGATTGGACTCACTTGCCCAATGCTGCATTAACCGTTATATGTATTGCTAACACTATTGCGCTACCGGATACCATTGTTCCAAGATGTAGTAGTAGATTAGGCAATGGTTCTATCATATTTCCGGCGTATACTTGGCAGCAATTGTATGACGTGGTTATGGAGCGGTCTGGTGGCAAGATACTCTCATTATTCGATGAAACGGCGCTGCAATTGGTTTGCCGAAAATGCGCTGCAAGGAGCGGGGACGCTCGGAACTGTTTGCAAACGATTTCGTCCGTGATAATCGAGCGCAGAGGAACTGGGAGCGGAGAGCAGGTGCCAACGAGAACACGCAGGGCCATATCACGTAAACCGAACGCCGATACCACGGGTCGGATTTCATGTGCAGATGTCAACAGAGTAATGCAAGCGAATTCGTCCAATGTAAGGCATTCCGGAAGGCGGTTCACGGTCGTGGCGGTCGGTTAGGGTCGTGACGGTTAGGGTCGTGGCGGTCGGTTAGGGTCGTGACGGTCGGCTAGGGTCGTGACGGTTAGGGTCGTGGCAGTCCTTCCTTCGTAGGTTATGGCTTCGTTTGTTGCCGGATTTCCTACAGCCGTGAAGATCTTGTTGTGCTGTATTGTTCTGTCAATCGATAAGAACACATCCACTGCCCAGGCACACCGGACCTTTAATCGGTTCTGCTCAGGGTCGTCGACGTCCCGGGAACTTCAGGACGCAAAGTTCCGACAAGGGCTGGAGATCCTAATTGGAACAAGAATCATCAGATTTGTTCTGGGTGTTGAACTCAAGCCAGCCTGCTTTGTACGTACCAAAGGCCCGAATGCGCAAGCACGACAACTCTGTAAGACTCAGACCTTGCCCCATCTGTAAGACCCATCTACGTCCGCGCCGGTCCCGGAACTCGGTCCGTCAATTTCTTGCGGCCAATTTAGCGAGTGGTCGTCATAGGAAACTCTTCAATGGATGTTGTTGTCGTTCAAAAGGTCGTCTGGTAGGGCGTCTGGTAGGGCGTCTACTAAATAAGTTTATTTTTAGTTGAGTGCGCTGAAAGCTGTCACCTGCCCTGGGGTCAATGGCAAATCATCCTGATGTCAAATGTGTATGATATTCTGGATGCGATCGTTAAACTTGATCTCGAGCCGTGGGTTTCAAATGTGAGGCAAGAGTACCATAGCATCATAGGCGACATGTGAAACAGAAACAAGCGATGCGTAGATAGATAGTGCGGATGGATGGGTGATGTGCAGGTAGGCAACGTATAGAGGGAGGAGGGAGGAGGGGAGGAGGGGAGGGGAGGGGAGGGGAGGGGAGGGAAAGGAAGGCAGAGGAATTTAAAAATTAATTGGTTCGTCGAATGCAAGAGAGTATAGAAGGTGGGTCGTCGTCCTCGTCTTCAGCGGTCATGATGCCTGGCGGTGCTTTGCGTTTATTGTTGTGGGGTGACGTGGAAGGTTCGTTCAATTTGTTTCAGGAGAGTTTGAATCGTGCTGTTGTGAAGTTTGGTTCATTTGATGCGTGCATTTGCGTGGGCAATTTCTTTGGACACGTGTCCTCTACGAAGTACGCCGTGGAGCATATTTCGATTCTTGAACGTGTTCGGACGCTTCTTCCTGAACAACTCGCTGTAAGCCAAGTCTTCATCTTTGACCAACCTACTACCCAGGATAGTCTGGGTGGGGAATTACAACAGAAATACCCTAGCGATCTCACTCCTCTTACGGACCATTTCACTCTTCTCCCTGCCCGCGGCTGCTCTGTCATCCTCGACAACCTACGAATCGCCACCTGCGCCCACCCACCTCATTTCGCGCCTGACGTAAACCGTCTTGCAAATCAAACAAATCCTCCGAGCGACTGGACAGTCGTCGACCTCTGTCTTGTCAGCGCCTGGCCAGAAAATATCCAGGCCGGACTCACCGGCGAGGAACTCCTCACTCTACAATCAAACTGCGCCCTGTAACTAGCCACCCCGCAAACACCAACACGCCTCTCTTCGCAAACGCGTCTGTTCACACACGCGTGCACACACTTGTGTGTGTGCACAACGTCTGTGCTCACGTAACCCGGCCTCGGCACAACAGCCAACGGCAAAATAGCCAACTCATCTTAGGGGCGGTCTGGAAGACCCAGTTAGAGCGCGCAGTTCCTATATATTTCTCTCTGGCTTGCCTCCAGCTAGGTACATCGTCGCATCGGGTGGGCCGCAGATCTTTTATCAGCGACCCCCCTTCCAGCGCACGCTCGATGGTACGAATCACACGCCTAGCGCGCCTCTACCTGACCGCCTCTTACACTACACGGTAGTCACTACCGTGTAGTCACTACCGTGTAGTCACTACCGTGTAGCTAGGTCACCCCTTGTACCACACGCACCGTCCCTCCACCGACCCGTTCTTGCAGCGCCAGTGCCGACGCGGTTTGTGTCTTTGTCGCCGATGAGCCTGAAGGCCGCCGGCCCACTTCCTCGCAAATTTCTACACTGTTTGCGCGTAGCGCCGTGGGTGTTACAACCGACTCCACAACCGCCCGTGAGCCACGTTGCGAACAGTCCATTGCCGCCCTTCCCGCCGACCAAACGGCCGCGACTCGCACCTGACCCGGAACCGCGAGTCGGCGCCGAAACCACGGCAGCCACCACACCCGCTTCCTTCTCGCCTGCCGCCGGCCCGACACCCGGGGCCGCTCCACTCAGGAACAACATCATCGACGGGCGTCTGACTGACCCCCGTTTGGTTGACACCGCTTCGGAGGCCAGCTCTCTCATACCTCCCGCCGCGCCGCCTCCCGCAGCGCCACCTTCCGCCAGCCCCCCCGAGTCAAGGGCCGCCCTGGGTCTTTCTCCAAGTGGTGGGTGGAGCGCCGAGTTACCGCCCACATCTCTCCGCCGGGAATCGTCCATCAGCGAGTCCATTTCGGATCCCGGTAGTCCCTCCGCAAATGCCGACCGGTCGCCAGTCCGCGCTGACGGTTCAAGGTCCGAGGGTCCGCGCTTCACGCTCTACGTCTCCAACGTGCCCTACGGCTCCTCGGCCGATGAAATCCGGCGTGCAGTCGACCCAGTCGCACGTGCCATCCGCGTACGCTTCCCCAAGGCACCTTTCAATGAACAAAAGAACGGTCGCGCGTAAGTCTCGCCCCTGCCACCAAACGGCCCTGTCCCCCCCCTCCCCCCCACCGCTTCCTGTATGTAGGTGGGTGTCTTTCAACACCGTGGACGAGGCACGACGAGTGCTCCATGCCAAACCCATCGAACTGCACGGACGCAAGCTGCGATTTGATTGGGCGAAAAACTCGCTGCAAGATGTGCGCCAGAGCAGTCTTGAGGAATCTACTCCGGCCTCCGCTGTCTCCCACGAAAGTAGCCCAATCAAAATCGACACGCGGCCGCACCACGAGTGCTGGTTTTGCCTGGTCAACCCCAACTGCGAGAAGCGCCTAATTTGCCACGTGGGCAACCAGGTAGGCTTCCATTACCCCTTCCCGTACCCATCCCTTCCCGTACCCATCCCTTCCCGTACCCATCCCTTCCCGTACCCATTTCCGTTGGTGTACACGCTTGTGGTTTACACTAAGCACGGCGCCGAAACTAAATGTGTGTTCAGATATATATTGCTATCGCGCGTGGTGGCGTGAACCCGCAGCACTGCCTGTTGCTGCCTGCATCACACCAGCCGAACTTGGGTTTCTGTCCTTTGCCAGTGGTCGAGGAGTGCGATCGGTTGATGGACGTGATGCGGGAGGTGAACTATGAGCAAGGTTTGGGTACGTTGTTCTTCGAGCGGTACGTGCCGATGAAGCAGACGCGGACGATGCATACTCAGGTCCATGCCGTGGGGTTTCCGGGTCACTTGACATCTGCATTGGTGGAGAGTATGTTATATCGGACAGTGCGAGACAGTGGTTCGGTGCTGGTATGGGAACAGCACGACTATACCTTGTCCCTGCCTCACGTCATGGGAGTACTGGCCAATTGGCAACCTGACCAGATGGGTCGACAACCAGAACATAAGTTCGCGCATTCTAGCTACTGGTGGATCACCATCTGCGGCACTCAAGGCCAGCCATCTTGCACACTCATAGGCGTCACGCAATCACCCGTCGGAGTCAATCTCAACCTCGCCCGCGAAGTACTCGCACACACCCTCAATCTACCCGACCGCGTCCAATGGAAAAACTGCGTGACTCCTCCTAACCAAGAGACGGAAGCCGCCCTTCACCTTAAACAACTCCTTAGCAACTCTCTCAGACGTCTCCAACAATCCACCGAGGACCCAACTCGGTGACCACCATCCAACTCGGTGATCTTTTGCGCAGTACGTCAGCTCACCAAGCTACTTTGTCGAACCAACAAGCCAGCTGATCGAGCAGCACCTCCCTAGTTGGTTAATGACACCACTAGCCTGATTAACCACCAATCGCCTGCCTAGCTAGTCACGTGCCTTGGTACATGACTGCGGTGATGAACCAGTCATGAACATCAGATGCGGTGCAGATTCGGTCCACATAGTCTGAGCCATCAAAAGCCACACACTCCCCCCTCGCAAACGAACTCAAATTAACCTACCTGTTTTGACGACTTAAAAAACTACCTCGAGCAATGAACCAGGGGATTGCCGTCTTCGTTGTCGGCAATAGCAGTCTGTCGGCTAATAGCGTCGCTGTCCCAGCGATGCTATTTAGAAGCAGTACGGCTGGTACTTATTGATGCAGTGAATGAGGTCGTAAACTTTTTCTATCGTGCCATCGCAAGTGGCTCCAAGCTCAGTGCCTGGTGCGTACTGCGAACACCATCGCTGGCAAGTAGGAAGCCACTCCTGCTTCGTGGTGTGAATCTGTTGTTCGCAGAGCTCGACCAGATCACCACTTTCGTCATCCTTTGAAATGCAGTAGTCGAAGGTCTCGTTCACACATTCGATTAACGTGTCCACGTCCTTCGCTTCCTTTGAGCAGTTCC